GAACTTCAATATCCCTCAAATCGAAATCCTTTCGATTGTATCCTATCACTTCATATCGGAGACATATCTACCGCATTTGACCTATGTTTTTTTTATTACATTTTTGTTGAATATAATATTGCTTTTCATAATTGTTATAAAGTAATTTTCTAAATGATTTTTTTTATAAAAAAGAAGGAGGAAATAAAAGAAGAAGAAAAAGTTGGAAAGAATTAATAATAACTGATTCTTTAACTATATGTATAATTAACTCGCGAATACTTCGCATTACACTTTATATTTAATAATTGAATAATAAATTGTAAAAAAGTTCCATGAGCTTTGATGGATTTTGACTCGACTGTCGATCGACAGATTCTCGTTTAAATTTTCATCATCAGTAAAGTACAGTCCGGGTCTTTTCAATTATGCGTTCCGAATCGAATGCTACGGTATGCGATACCGTGGAATCCTTTTCAGTCGAGAGCTAATGGATTGTCAAGAATAGAAACTTCACGTGGTTTTGCGATCGTTGGCTCGGTGTGGCCGATCAAATGTTTTCAATTCTATTTTCCGCGAACCGCGTTTCACCCTCTCTGTCGATGCTGAAATAGTTTCAGAGATAGTCGTTGCTGAAAGCAACGTGCCATTTTCACATGATAACTTTTTAATCCGCAACATATCGCACGAAATATACATACATCGCTGCAACTGACGATATATCATAATTATTTCATACAACAACAAAAAAACAATATGTTTATATATGGGAAAAGTCAATAACCATTACAACAAGACATAATTTGATGCATCCATTATAAATATTTTAAATGAAAAGTTTTTGATAAAAATATTTGTATATCACGTGCTAAAATTACATGCATAAATTATATGCAAAGAACTAAGCAATTTCTTGATGTCCTAATTTCGAATATTACACTTTAAATACAAATAGACATAAACAAAATTACTGCCTGCTTTGAACATTAATCTTACAGCCGGTATCGAATGCCAACCGAATTCATTGTCTCGATTTCCATCGAATTCGTTCGCGCACTAGAAGCGATCCTTAGTCGAAGGCGCTTGAGCGATCACAAAGGGTGCTACAAAGTAATTTACTTTCTCGATAGAAAAATAAAGAGGAAACGCTAGAGAGGTATGCAACGAAAGCGAGTAAACTATGTTGAATCGTGGAGCTGTTTAAAATCTATTTGGATTGTACAACATCGAATTATTCCATGCCGAGAATTATACGCTTCTCCAGCTTCTGGATCTGTAATTGTAAAATAATAAATTAACAAAGTATTTTCTCATATAATAGTGACAACGATTCAACTCGGTAGTTGCAGTTTCTCTTATAGCGAATTCGATTGGATGCACTCAGTGCGCAGAGATGTTAAAAGCATCGTATACAAATAGACATAAAAATATATGTTTAATGTAAACATAAATAGCGTCGAAACACTACCGTGTCTGCTGAAAAAACGGATTAAATCATGAAATCCTCAATACGTTTTATTGTGCTATGAGGTAAAATCAATCTTTTATAATTCGCAATATTTACAATAATAAGCGATTTATTAAAACTTGTGTGTATAATATAAATATTTATATTTTAGACAATAAATTAAAAATAAAGGCTCTGAACGATCAAGATCTCTAGTACTGAAATATTTCTGTATGAATTTATATACCACATCTACTATAGTAGTTTAATTTGTTGTATACTTGCATTAAAAAAATACTGTATTTAATATTACTTATATTTTACTTTGACACAGATTAAATCAGTGTAAGGCTTTAATATGCATCACAGTCGCTATATCAGAATAGTATTATATTTAAATTCAATAATAAAACATAATTCGATTATTGTAACATTTGTTTCCTACAGTCATTTTAGTATACATTCACAAAATGACAAAATTATATGAATAACGTATTAGAAACGGCAAATTTAGAAATTGGAATAATGAAAAAGTAATTATTACTACAAAGATCAAAATAAATATTTCTGAAATTTATATTTTCAAACTCGATGCTATCAGATTCAACGTTGACGATTTTAATATCGAACAGAGATTCTTAGTGCATTCCGGTTTTGTCCAGACGGGTTCTAGGCTGATGACAACGTCGTGAGGTTGGCTCTCCTCGGCTCGCTAATCCGAAATAATATACCGTTGACCCAGTTAGCAGCGCAACAGCAATTAGACATTCGCGCGGTGGCAGACGAGGCGGGACCAGGGCGTTGATCGATCCTTCCTCGTCGCTGGGCGTATGTACTCACGTAAATTCCCGTCGTTAATACCCGCGTATCGGCCACAACGACTGCGTCGACATGGACATGAGTTACGGTCTCGAAGTCGCTTACCTGACAGGAAAGGAATTGCTTGCTCGAGTCAAACAGCAACGGCAAGATTTCAGAATAGTGACGATAATTCAATCATACATGTTTCAAATAAAAAGTCCGATTTGCAGCAATGGTATACATTACCATGTATATAATTACCATGGCTCAAATAATCGCGTTAGTAAAAATCAAATGTTATTTGTAAATTTTAAAAACAAATAAGGTTGTCTATTATGTTTGAACTAAACTAATTGTAAGTTTACATAAATTTTTAGATAATTTCATTAAAAGCAAATATCAAGAAGTTTAAACAAACTATATATTCGCGCGCGCGCGAGAGAGAGAGGGAGAGAGACAGAGAGAGTTAGCAATTCTATAATATATTAGTTACATAGGGTTAACATTTCGGCGCCAGTTGTCTCCTCTGTAAATAGAAAAAATTTCTATTCAATATCTTCGGTCTTTCAATCGTTCTTGCTGAACAATTTTATCTTGTCCATCCCATCGTTTTTAATGTACATCAATTTTGCGGTTTAGAATATATGTTGGTTTTTATATGTTATATAATTGTTGAACATCTGAGGAAGGCTGAATCATATAGTTGAAACATGTTAATTCGTCAAATGTTAAAGTAAAATTTATAATTAAATCATTGTATTTCATTATTTTATTTGAATTTTTGATAAATTATTTCTATTAATTTAACTCTTACCAGTTCTTCTGTATTACACAATTGTTATTTTTAGAAAAAAATTTCCTAGAAGATACGGAAGCTTTTAAAATATTGTTTCACTTGCGGTTCTATTATCTCGTTTAGCAACTTTGTTGGATAATAGTATTTGGTAAATGCGCATATAAACTTATGCTCTTTCTTAAAGGTATATTAAAGTCTTGAGATAGAAATATACATAGAGATGTAGAGAGTAAGAAGTAGTCCAAATTTCTTTCTTTAGTTTTTCTATTACAATTTTTTTTATAAACACAGAAAGACAACATTTATAATAATTACAGAATAATTATACTCAAATTCCATTTTGTTGTAACATAGAGAAGTACATAAAATATTAAACAAGTTATTTATTTACATTAATAACGTCGTAGTCTAATTATTGCAAATTACACGCTCGGACGCATTTAAACTCCCAAATATTATAAATCTAAATTATTTATTATTTATTTGTTGCAAACTTCTTAAAATAATGAACTACAATTTCTTTCAGATTAAGGTAATGTGTAAGTTTAACTTTTTATAGATCACTTTATATATCACTTCTTTGGCGATAAAACATTAAAAATTGTGTTAAAAACAAGTGCCACAGGGTTTGCTGTAATTGTCGCAATTCTGTCATGTAACATTCTCGTTTTTGTAGAAGAAAAGAGAACAATCCGCTTCGTCCGAGTTTAAAATTGGTCTGCTAACTCGCTTAATCATCGTATTCGCAATGAAATCGTCGCGTGGTTCGCCGTTCTATTCGTTTGGACTTTGTTAAATTTCAGTCAAAATGTGAAGCACCTCATGATTCCCGAAGCGTGCGATCAATTCATGATGTGGCTTCGAATTAGTGTTCTAATACGCGTTGAAAATCAACGCCCGTACTACGCCCTGCGCCAAGTGTCGGCTTACCGCGGTTAATCGGTTCGATTTCACACGAACACTTTAACGTCGTTACGCATCGTATAGTTTGCGATCGTAGGATCGTTCATTGTCGTACTTCCGACTCGTATCGCCATAGTTACATAGGGTTGCAATTATTGTTGTATTCGCATTACCGCAGCAGGTTTCGTTGTAATATTCGCAAAACTGATAAATCTTTCGCGATCTCAAACATTTTATAGTTTTAGTAAAAGAATAAAAGAATAAAAGAAGAAAGAATTTTTAGGGATTAAATTTCAGGCGAAAATGTACACTTTACATTGAGCGACATTATTTTTATATTCAAAGCAACGAAATTTTTTGCGCGGCACTCGGGAAGGGAGAGGCTGGAGGAGAAGAGGGTTGAACCCGTTACTTGTACCCATAAATCCGCCCGCGGACCAAGTTGTATCGCTCTCATTCCAGGGTATGCTATACACCGGGAATTGCACGTAACGAAGTATAGTCTGGCAAGGTGTGTAACGCAGCGACTTAACTTAGAGTTTCGCTTGTGTGTTCGTGTATACATGGTATATCAGAATTTATGCATTCTCTCAAGCCTACACATTTTGGAGCAATTTTGTGGATTTTTTTTTTTCTTAAAAGAAAAACTTGAGAAACCATCTTTTCTCTTAACTTCTTAATTAAATTTCAAGTGAAAATTTTCCTAACTAATAAGATTCACTTGGAATTAATTGTAGAGATATTTAATCCGAGAATTAATTAGTGAGCAATGAAAGATACAAATTAACGAATTTTATTAAGAATGTTGATTAACTTTTCCAATAGAGTAAAAATCAATGATAGAAGTGTGTATCTTAATTAAATTACACTGTAATTTATTTCAACAAGAAATAATGAAAATTACATTGATTAAGAGATTCCCAAGCGATGCTCTTTCACGTGAATGCCAAGAGATAATAGTATTATAGCTGACCCACATCTTTTTACTTATTGTTAGATACGTGGTTTGCGCGCTGAAAGAAGATATAAAGGGGCCAGGCGAGTCGTTCACAGTGGAGGAATCGGGAGATCATGATGCCCCCCATAATCGGGGAAACGCTGCGCGTATGGTTTTTTTCGGCGCTGGTCGTGCACGGAGCTGTTGCTGGAAATCCGGACGCGAAACGCCTTTACGACGACTTGCTGTCCAATTACAACAAACTCGTGCGCCCCGTGGTAAACACCTCAGACGTGCTGCGCGTATGCATCAAGCTTAAGCTCTCGCAACTTATAGATGTGGTAAGTAAATCTTTTTTGAAACGTTGTTAAAAACTAAAAGATATTCTACAGTATAAATCTCGTATCGTAAAACTACATTAGCGATACAATTGCTGAACTATAACCTATACCTAATAGCTATCATGAGCAAGTTCAGACAAATTTTGACATTATTGATACACATTAATCATAAAGTCTGCTATTACAATAGTCGATCATCATTAGCTATTCATAATCGTAAAAATTGTTGATATAATAATTGGCAAGTATCTATACTTGTTATAAATTAAAATATATTTGTGGATAAAATAATATTATCCACAAATATATCCTGATGTAACACGATATGTTACATCAGGAGCGCTATTAGAGATTTTCAGTAATCTATATTAGCGCCAATTAAATATTTCGTAATCCTTAAACTGCGTCTTTTAGGTATGGTATACTTGGTCTTTATTTCGAAACTTTTTCAATGCTTCTTCATTTGTCTATAATAATTATTTTTATTAATAAAGAAACATGCATTTGCTTAATACTGTTTTAATTCTGTTCTTTAATGTTTGGCGTTTTACATAAAAAAATTGTTTACAATGTGTTTATTTTTATAAAAATTATCAGCAATCGAATTGAGTTAAATATGTCATACCTAAGTGCATCCTCAAAGTGTAGCATTAAATAACAGATATACAATATACATCAATATAAAATATAATAAAAAGATAGGTGCAAATTGTGAAACAAAATCTATTAGAAAAACATTTTATACTTACCTTTAATTTTTCAAAAAAAGAATCTCATTTTATTTATTTAATTCTTGCCATTCGGCCACTAATTCTCTCGTGGTTTGATCGTAAAAGAAGGAGCATACAGAAGTGTTGTCTTTCCTTCTACTTCGAAGTAATAATAGTTACCTACATCCAAAGTATCTGTATAGAGTGTCTTTAAACTTTGCTGATATTGCACTCTCTAAGACAATAGTTAAACTTGTGTAAGTATTAAAGTGCGTGTTACAGCTATTATAAAATCAATAGCTTATAAAGTCCACGGACATTTTAGAATGGCTAATTTGCCATTCGGGTTAAGATACTCTTTTGGAAACTATCGTAGAAATCCAAATTGTCGCAAAAGAAAATTGCATGAATCTCAAGTAATTGGAATAATTACTTAGGACTTAGGTGAATTTTGACAAAATTTTAGTTACTGTTATGATTGTGTTTCGTTAAATTAAAATATAAAAGCTTTTAAAAGCATAATTTAAGGTTCTATCTTAATAGGTTACACTTATTAATAATATAATTAACTAATAATATAATTAATTTGCGATACATATGTATATGTAACAATTTAATACTATTGTATTCAATAAGAAAAATATTCAATATAGATAATAAAAATTTAGATATATTTGTGGAGTTTAAAATTTGTTGTGCAGATTATGATATACAGGGTGTCCCAATAACTATTAGCATTTGAAATATTTTAAATCTATAGAATCTAGAGAAAAATTTGTATAAAACTAAAATTCCAAGATATTTCAAATGCTAATAATTATTAGACACTCTGTATAATTCAATATAATACTTAATAGCTTTAGCTAATGACAATTAGGTAAAATCAGATCACAAGAATCAATTAACAAGAAACAAGGCATTACACTTGTTTGTCACCAGAGCAATATACGTGATAAAGGTATAATGAGAATCAGAGAATATCTTCATACTCAGTAACTCTGTCAGAACTAGCTTATACTTATGCATCTAGCTATTCTTGCGTCTGTTTGGCAACAAAGCACTTATAGCTAACAACACATGCATAAATTAATTAACTACTTTGTTAGATTGCGTCTTCTCTCTGTTCAAATTCATCGTGCATACTGCATTTAATAAATCGTTTTATCAAATTCATTTATGATCTATTAATAACGTTTTTTCCAATGAAAAATAATATGATAAAACAAATACATATTTTAATTCAGTTATAGAGCTTTTTTACAGTGCATTAAATAATATATTACACACACACACACACGCGCGCGCGCATTCATACACACATATTTAACAATATATTAATCAAATAAAAAACAAATATATTTTTATTAAAACTTTTGGAATTAGAAGGGAAATAGACAGAGTTAATTACGTATTAATTCTAGAGTGGCATTATCCCCTAACAATATGTTCGCTCATTACATAAAGTTAATAACTAAATATATAAATCAATTAATATACAGGCCAAAACCGAGCAGGCTGGATCTTCGCACATATAATTAAATTTTTTTTATTAAAAAATAATAATTTCTATAGCGGAATGAGTTTCAACTTTACTACGGTCTTCTTAAATCGCTAGTTATTAATATACAATAACTATTATAAAATGAAATAAAAGTCCTATATGGAGAGAAAATACAAATTTATATATATATATAACATGACATGTAATATTACAAAATTCTATCGCATTATAAACAAACATTGATTAATAAAACATACCACACAGTGTAATTAAAAGTTTTGTAGATAAGTTTGGTAAAAAATTGGCGGATATACAGAACTAATAATATTCTTGAAATAACACCACACAATCATTACATAACGTTAAAGAATAATATCACAATTTCAGTCTCGTAAAAATATACGCTAGGACAGCAATTTCTTAAAATTGCTATCGGCAACTGAAGTTCTCGGGAACTCCCGTCGGGAATATTCGAATGAAATAAGATATGCATTCGACATTGCACCTTACCGGCAAAATTTCAATATTATGATATTTGAATCATTCTAATCACAAACTGCAAGTGTAACTAATCAGTAGGAAAAGATTTTGCATTATAATTTGTTTTTGGTTTTTTCCTTCTTATAAAAAATTTTTCTTTTTTTGTTGTGTACCACTCAATGGAAATTATTTTATGAAAATACAGATAGATTGAAACTAAAAACAAATTCTAATGCAGAATCTTCCTCTTTTATTTTTTAACTTTAGTTATTATTAATATTACTTTTAATTATTAATAATAATGTAATTAATATTAACATTGCCAATATCAATAATATTATTATTATATATTAGGTATGTTCTAACATTTTATTTAAATTATATTAATATATTATAGTACAAAATATATTTTTCTACAGATTATGCATAATTTTTCAAGAACTATAATTTGGCCAACAATAAAGCTTAATGTTCAATCAACATTATAATGGGAACAATTTGCTTTAACGCACAAGAGAAGAATTTGCTCGTCCGGAGGGAAAACTCATCAAGAATTTATTTCTGGTGTAATAATCCAAATTACTTAAATCTCCACGGTCGATTTGCGTGACCCCTCGTGACTCTTTGTTTCCTTCCGAAAACGCAATTTTAGCGATATGCAAATATATTATTCACGAAAAGGAATATTCTCACGTTTTGTTTTTACAATCCAACATAAGGGAAGCCATTATCTCGACTTAATGCCGGAACTCGGTATATCCATCGTAATGTCGTCCTTCTCAGACGACTTATAGACCCGGTAATTATGAGCGTATGTCACAGGAATTTCCACGTGACTCATTCTGCCGTAATTATATTTCCCGAACCGGGGGATCCGCGCACAGCGCATAATTATATGGCAATTTACGTGACCGCCAGCATTGTAAAATACGGGGATTTCGTGCCACTGTCGTCTGCGCGCGAAAACTGCGAGCGCTGCTTCTTTCGAGGTAAAATTTTATACGCGAAGTACACGTTGTACGAAGCATACGTTATATTAACGCAATTCTGCAAATGTCGCATTAAAGTTTAACCAACTTGAAATTGATAACTAAATATAGTTATTACATTATATAATTACTTTTTTTACTTACTATTAATATAGTACATAATAACTAAATAGGTACAGTTATAGAGTGTTGAATAATATGTACGGGCTGCTGCCCACCACGCCGTTCCACGGAAATGTAAATCTCTCGCGGGACGCAGTCGAGAAATATTAGGAGTACAAATTAGTTCGGTCCATTTTCCAAAAGATGATGGCTTCCAAAGACAAGTCATTTTTTCGAAATGGAATTCGAAAAAAATTGCCTGAGAAATGGGAAAAAGTAGTAGCCAGCGCGATGGACAATACTTTAATTAATCTGTTCATTCATTTTGTTTTGAAATAAATGCATTTTTGAACACAAAAAACGGTCCGAACTAATTTGAACACCTAATATTTTGATCCCTCTCACTCTAAATGCAAATACAATTATCGCTAATCGAAACGCTTTATAATGCCTTTCATTGCGAAACACGGCACGGAGAATTCTTGCCTCGGACACAAACGAGCAGCGATCTGTCGCCATTGACGCCTTTATCGATTCTGATCTCGGGCAGTGATGCACACATTTGACCTCTGCCGCCACAGAGAACCATTCCCACCACTTTGTCTCACCAAGTGACGTCGCCATCGCTTCGGTGTTGAGCAAGTGAAGCAGCGATAAAGACTATCGTTCTCGCTCACTGAAACATAGTATTAGGTTGTTTGGAAAAGCCATTTCAAACTCATTTTCTAACTCAAAAAAAATATAAGCATATTGTACATTTAAAAAATTAGCGATTATATCATTCGATAGAGCAAAGTTTCAGCTTAAGAATCTGATTTCTAAATTACTGTACAATGATTTTGAACGGAGTTATAAGCATTTAAAATCAAAATGTTTTTCCCTTTACTTAACTCGCAAATAACTCAGGAACCAAAAATCGTAGAAACATTTTGTAAAAACGATTTTGTAGGGAAAGCTTCCAGCTTTGACAATAGATAGTTGAAAAATTTCGACTTTAAACGTGACGTTTTTCGTGATACTTTTGAATACACTCACATATTTTCTTTGGAAAAACACTTATGTTAATATGTCTTAAGCGTGTCTGTGTGTGTGCGTGCTTGCGCGCGCATTATTGCTGTTCTGTTTCCTGCACGAGGATTGCACTAGAACTGAATTGAACTTGTGTAATCCCACTGACGAGGCAAGGAATGAAAACGTTCTAATGCGAGATAAAAATCA